TGAATATTCAATTTTTAATTCTTTAATTCACCGTTTGTACGTAAATCATAACATGAATGAACCTTCTACAAAGCAATTATTTCCAACACTTTTAAAAAAAATGTGTATGAATAATTAGACATCTGTACCGATATTTGTAATTATATTTTATTTATTTATTTTTTAAAATTATTATCGGTATTGTTGTGTCAGTATTTGAGGTGTCGGTGCTAAAAACACACATCACAAGATTCTTTTTATAGATAACGTGATATGTATTACTCTATTGACAAATTTGTTTTCTTCTGCCACATTCTTAGTAGATGTCATTTTGAGGCGCTTAACTGTGTTATTTTGGATTAAGACTCTGCTTTTTGTTTTGTTGTTGTTGATTTCAGTTCATTTGATGCAATGAGAGTGTTTGAGAGTTTCACCCTTTCAGATTGGTGTCATAGTAATCAGAATTGTTTGGAATTAGTCAAAAAACATATGGGCAGTAGAAGGGAGACAGCTTCTTTCACTTTAGGTTTAGTAAGTGTTATTGTTTGGGTTGTTGCTGAGATTCCTCAAATCATCACAAACTACAAAGCCAAATCTACTGATGGTCTATCTCTCACTTTCTTGATCACTTGGATTATTGGGTATGTTAGCTGTTTTATTAAGATTTTATAAGGGCTGATTGCGTTTTTCTTATGTGATTCCGATTAGATAACAAATAAATCATCAATTTAGTCCATATAGTATCATTCTCTCTCCAGGGATTGACGGTTGGTCAAAGCTTGGGTCTTGAGGGTGTGCTTCTCTTAATATCTCAAGTTTGAATCCCGCTAGGTGCTAACAATTTAAGTGTTGGGCCAATCCATGTTAGGGATAACAAGTTGAATTTTCATATACTCTGGAGGCTAAATTGTGGGGTCTCATATTTTTGGGCTACTTGTTATGTGTATATATACTTTAGGACTAAACTAGATAGAGAATGATACTTAAGGAACAAAACTGATGGTTTGTTCTTGAATAGTTGATTGCTAATTATGCGATTTTATCTGTTTGCCTGTTTTGCTGGTCTATTTGAATCATTAACACCTCTTGGCACTTGATGCAATCTATTCAACCTTGAGTATGTCATTTGAGATCCCACATTACTAGATTGATGGATGTGATTTCCATAACAAATGTTTAAGTTCAGTTAAGGGGCAAATAAGGATACTTCAACCTGGGAGCCAGGTAGACACTTGGATGGGATGCGTCTCATCCTATCTGCGGGTGCAATCCACATACACATGTCGATCCGAGTCTCCTAGCATCGCTCGTCTACTATATTCATTTACTATTTTGATGCAGCTTATTTATGTACTGCAGGGATCTATTCAACCTATTTGGGTGCATACTGGAACCCGCAACAGTGAGTGTCTCTCTAATGTCTTGAATGTTGAAGTAGTTTGCTTCTTAAGTTTTAGGAGCTATCTTTAAAGTTTTCTATTCTTCCAAACAAGTACCCTTATTCAAAATTAATAAGGGTATATTTATTGACTTCTTTTATTGCTTTTATTCAGCTTCCAACTCAATTATATATGGCAGTGGTAAGGACTCTAGCTGAAGACTAACGGGTTATGGTACCTAGGAAATCGTTATTGTAATCTGAATTTTTCACTCTCAATTAGACTGTACGATGTTACCTTTGTACTGATGTATTGAAATGCAGCTGTATACCTTTGTAACGGTCGCACTTGGCTCACAATCCATTTACTATGGATACATATATCCCCAATCACAATACAAGAGACAGCTCAAGGTGCAAATTCGTATCCCTATGAGATACATTCAGTAAACTCAGATTGTGTACAATATTCTTATCTGTATTATATCATTGCATGAATGAGCAGGTTGAGACGCCAACAAAAGCTGGACATGTTGAAAAAGTCAGTGATGCTGAGCAGAGACATGAATTTGATGATTTCAGTAGAGGCGTAGATCCGAGTTCTCCTATTCCTCTTCCAGCACACCTTCCAAGCATATCTACTGGAAGAGAATTATTTTACCAGTAATAAACCTTTCTCTTTAAAGCTCTTCAAAATTTATTTATCTTCAAAATGAATATCATCAAAAAGTTGCCGGTTTAAAATACATTTATAGAAGCTTCCAGTTTGAGGACAAGCTTATCATGTTCTCTAAAAACTGACAATAAGCTTCACTTCAGTCATAAAATATAAAATTCAAAAAGCTTATCATGTCTGCGATCTACTGAATGCGACCTAGGTACTGCGCAATGGTGCGGTCTCATTTTTCGATACACTTGAGTTCATAGCGAAGTTGGGGTGACTTCACATAGATCTGCGTGCTCTGTAACTGATCTATGGCTGTCCAGATTTCATGTGTGTGGAAGCATCTAACAACTCTAGAAAGAACTGAATCTGAGAGAGTTGTGAGCATCCATGTGAAAAGGCAGTGGAGAAGATTGTTAAGGTTCGATGGAATCAATGGACATGGATCATAGGCTTATGATACAATAATAAAGAAAAGAAGATGGTGAATGAGTATTCATCTTTAGTTTGTTAGAAGTGAAAGAAGTAGAAATTTGTTATGAATTGAACAAAAAAGGTGAAGATTACTTACAATGAATAGCTAGCTTGCGTTTTATAGAATGCTTGAGTTGAACTGAGTGTAACTGACTCAGTGACAGCATGCATGAGGTTGTTATAACAGCCTTCTAGAGTTTTCTAACTAACTTCTTCCTATCGTAATTCTGTTTTGTTAATTGAATACAAAACAGTTACTGCTACTATACTCTAATAAGATGTCTCTCTTTCTCTGTTCAAGAATATTCTAGAATATGAACTCTTCATCCTCTCGACTTTTTTAATACTGTTGGGCTTCTTGGTATGGGTGACCTCTTTTGTGGGAATATGAGGAGAATAAGCATAAAGCAACACAAAATATCTAGTTAGCCTTGCTCTCAATATTTCGGAAAGTTCTTCGTATACTCATTTATGTTTTGAATTCATTAGGTCAGCAAGATCTCTGACCAAGACTCATACACCAACATCAGGATCCATCTTAGCCCAAAGAATGACACCTAATTCTCCTTTTATGGATTCTATGAAAGAGAACTTGCTTGGTTCAGCTTTTGCAAGACAATCTGCCCCATCTTTGAAGATCAAGTCTACTTTATGTTTGGTAAACATCTAGTTCTACTACTACTTTATATATGATTATGACATTGTTAGCATTTAAATCTAATTGCATCTAGGCTTTTTTCAGGTGTCCACATTAAGTTTTTTTGGTGTTATCAATCTCTATAAATCACTAGATAAAGGAATTAATCCCATGGTCTCAAACCCAAGACAACAATTTGTGGTTTATGTTGGAAGAAAGCTTTTTCAGGTAATACAAGTCACAACTCGGTTACCTGTGTTACAAAATCAATCATTGTACTTGAACATTCACCTGCATGTTTATAATTTTGTTAATGTATCCTGTAAGAAATTGGAATAACTTGATCAGCAGCTGCATTTTTTCTATTTCATTGGTTCCTTCTTTTTTGTTAAATTACATAATGAAAACTAACCCTCTCCTAGTTACCTTTCCTTTCCGGACGAATGCATGATTTTTTAACTTCTTTTAGTGTGCAACTCTAAATCCTGCAATGTTGTATGGTATTAGTTGTTTGGTGTTAAAGAAACAAGAAAACGAGGCATGCAGTTATGACTTATGAGAATGTTATGTTGGATGAGTGGGACTAAAAGTTCATTTAAAACAAAAATAAAATGAAATATTCTTTGCGGTATTTGTCATAAATTCCAGCAGCAATTGCAGGTTAGTGGGGATCAGTTGTTAGAAAATGGTGCATCAGGAAACAATAGCATTGGAACTTTCCTTGGTTGGGCAATGACATTTCTATATTTGAGTGGAAGGATGCCTCAAATTTGGTTAAATGTGAGTTATATATTTACTTTCCAGTCGCTTAGTATGAGGTTACATGATATAAGTCTATTGATTGTTGGATCACACACTTCAACTGGTTGTGTATACTAATGCATATCTCAACAATTTTGCAGATCAGAAGGGGACACGCTGAGGTTAGAGGCTCTAACTATTAACGCTGCGATCCTTTATAAATTCTGTCTGTGTTTATCATTAGCAACATTAAATCCCTCCAGCAGATTCACCCTTATGAGAGCAGTAAAAGATGTTTTATTTCTATGCTTAGAGGGAAGAGTTTGAAGTTTTTTATGATTTGTAGGGCCTGAATCCTTTGATGTTTCTCTTTGCTTTAATTGGGAATGCCACTTATGTTGCAAGGTAAGCTTCTGCGTCATAATTCATGTTATCTTCTCGGCTTTAAGTATCGGCACCAAAGTAACTTTTGCCAATTGAAAATACAGCAAAAGTGTGAAATTATCACTTGTATTGAATGAGCATGTACTTATCTTTTTATGCAGCATACTTGTGAGCAGCTTGAATTGGTCAAATATCAGACCAAATCTACCATGGCTGGTAGATGCAGGAGGATGTGTCCTTCTTGATTTTTTTGTATCCTTTGAACCTCTTGGCTATGTCTCATAATTTTAAACTAATAAGAGGTCTAACATGTGTCTACCTTAACATCTGATTTAGATTTTAATGCAGTTTTTATATTTTCGCTTCCGAACCTCCCCGGGCCTGTAAATAAATATAAACATTAGACTGCTTTTTATTGAGGAGGAAACAAGGATATTCAGGTTCCGTACTCTCTCCTGTATGTATTGCATGTGCTTCTGTGCCATGTTAGGATGTGTTTATCAGTATTTGAATTTTTCCCTATGGTGCAATCATATTCTGATTAATAATGTTGTCTTCCATGGTTAATTTTCATTTCAGTTGATCATCAATATTGGTGATTTTCTCTAATTTCAACCAGATCTGGATTATTTCATAAAGCTGACATGTATGTTCATAGAAATCTTTCAATCTCCACCAACTTGGCCTAAATATGTGAGCTTGAAGCTGAATTGGCGAATGGTGATACCTGCTTAATTGTAAGATCATTGCCCTGGTGGCCTGAAAAACAAGAGGAAGTCGTTATGTTCATTTGAATCGGCAATTTTGTTTTTGAGGTTGATGCTACCATTTTGCATTCCTTTTCAGCTTTCTAGCTGTCACCCTGAGAACTTCCACATGATATTATTGATAACCAATGTAATTGCTTGGATTTATGAAATTTGGTCTTAAATTTAAATGTTTTTTTTACTGGTACTTGCTGCATACTGATATGTAAGCAACAAACATGGTCATTACAAAACACAGAAGTATAGCATATGGTGTAACTACTTTCACTGATGATTCTATTCTCTTCTTTGATAAACGATTTTATACAGCAAGTAGTTTCCAGTAGAAGTGAAGAATAAATTTAGTATTTACTTGTATTCATAGGCTATAAGATGTTCTGAGGTAGCATTAAGCCTGGGAAGCTTTACCCTTGGAACTTCAGTGGCGCCATTAGACCCTTGAGAACATAACACAATGTACACCGATGCATCACGACCGAGTTCTAGATCATATACACGTTTCCCTGCAGCATATTCTCCCATAAGTTGGTACGATCTTTCCGATTGATCCATTGCAACACAAATATCATCACTACCTGCTCAAATCCAAGTTAAAACAAGTGATATCAAGATTCACATTTCAATTTTGTTTTGGATTTAGATACAACTCCCATATATCATATATGCTACACAACATTTCAAGGTTCAAATTACTCACACGCAGCTAACTCTATCTGTGTCTTGTAGATAAATTCCAAAACTTCTGAAATATCTTTCTCAAACATAAGAAACGGTCCATTAGAGAATTCCATCTTTCTCAGTTTACATAGTCCCTCTCCCAGCTCCATCATCGCACCTTTATGGTTCTATATTCAGCACATGAACATAATCCAAAATAAAATCATCTACTGAACAAGTGGAAATTAACAAAAAGACACTAGTAATATTGAAAACCTGATTGAAGAGGTGATGAAACCCAACAGCACATTGCAAAATGCCATGAATTAATGTTCTTGAGGGATCTTGAGCATTGTGCCAAAGGGATTCAAGGTAGTCATGACATTTGTAGTACTCTCCACCATTAAATAGAGTCACTGCTTCATCAAAGCTGTGCTCTTCTTCATCCTCTTCTTCTTTTGTGAAATACCTGTATGAAACAAGAAAGAGGTTGGAGTAGCTGGTTTTGAGGTTTAGGTGCTGCTTTGAGTGAGTCAGTGGATTGAAAGAAGGTGAAGTAAGAGTGATGGGGTTGAATCGAGGAAGATGAAGGTAGGGATGAAAGAGTTTGGATGAGGTATGGTAGATAGTTTTGTGGAAATAAGAAGAAGAAGAAGAAGAAGATGGAAGAAGAGCCATAGATGATGAATGGTGAGAAAAGCTTTCTCTCTTTTAGCAATATCTTCATTCATTTTTTTTATGTGGTGGGAATGGAAGTCTGTGACAAACAAGAAAAACAAAGACTTTCTTACACACTTAAAATATTTATGATACTTTAATTTTTCTTTGAGAAAATTACACCACGTGTCATTTAGTTTAAAAGTTTCTTTTTACGTAGTATAATTAATGACCGAAATTTTATTAAAAATGAATAGATAAAATGTTGCTGGTTTGAATTCATGCCTATGCAATTTAGTGTCTATTTGGATTAAAATGATAACTTCAAAGTTTTTTAGTCCATTTAGTTTTATTAAAGTCCTAACTTTTTTTTTTGTTTGTTAAAGATAAGTAAGAACCTTATGTTTAAAAATGTCAACAATATTTTTATTATAGTGAACACTAAATAAATTTATTATACATACTTATAAATTTCAAAAGTATAATTATACACAAAATATTGTAAAGGACACAGTATGATGTCCAATTTGTAGGGGTATATATTGAAAACAGTTAATGAGAGAACACTTTCTTAAACGTTTAGGTAGAACCGTAGGAGCACAATTTTAATCAAAAACTGCCTAACAGTTAATAAAGTAATGTTACTAAAAGAATCAAATAAGAAAATAACTGCATCTAACAGTTTATTTGATTCATTTTGCTAACTGCACTATTTATGTATGTGAAAGAGAAGAGTTTCAAAAATTAGAAAATAATAATAGATTGGCAAAGAGAAACAGGAACAAGTATATGCTCTTTGGTTGTTCATGGTGTTCCAATTTTTTCCATCAAATTCAAAAGAAAGACATTCCAATTTTGCTATTTTTATTAATTTTTTCTTATACCAAATTGAATTTTTGTGCGTCTCTTTTTCATCAACTTCAAATTTATTCAATTTTGTTTTTGACACTCCTTCATAATGATTGAAGTTATTGTATATATTTAGTTGAAGACCTCGGTATGAAGAATTACTTTTTCAGTTTCCAAAGGAATCAAATAAATTTGATGGTTATTTTCTTTTGTTTTGAAAATTCACTCGATCTAATAACTATACAACTCATTTCAATGTTATTTTTATTTTTTAAAGAGAGCAAAATTGATGAATAGTAAATTTTTTTAATCCAATATTCTAACTGGAAAATAGTAAATGCACCATTAATTTTTTTTAATGCATTCTATTCATCATGATTTTTAATTTTCTTTTATTTTCTTCCTGTTTTAGGTATCTTTTTCTGATTGTTTTCTTCATGTTTATAGGATCCAAAACACTTTAGATATTTTTTCTAATTGTTTTCTTCATATTTATGGGATCCACAACAAAGATTAAAATTGTATTTGATTCACATACACGATCTCACAATTATATTCATACATTAAATCTTTGATTTTAATTCAATTTAATATTACTAATAGACTATCTTTTAATTATGGATATTTTAAAGACTATCTTTCAATTTAATATTACTAATAGACTATTTTTTAATTCAATTTAATATTATAGACTATCTTTTAATATTATTAATTTATATTAAAGATTTAATGAGAATACATTGATAATATAAAACAGTTTTATATTTATATTGATAGTGAATCATAACTGTTAATTTTTTTAGAAATTTAATTTTTATTTTAAATCACATATAAAATATTTCTTTTTAAGGATTGTTATATACTGACAATATAAAATATTGTATATTGATGATATAGTATCTTTAAACTCTTATATTAAAGAAGGTTAAACATAAAAATTCTGTTTACCTGGAAAAAAAATTCTTCAAATAATGATTTCATGTTCGGCTTTACTCTTAAAGAATGTTATTGATTATACAATATGTTTAATATCTTTGTTTGCCATTTTCAAAATATATAATATTATTAACATGTTTAGATAATATACGTTTATTTTTAGATCTAATAATTGTGTTTAAATAGATTTATTTTTAGTATAACAGATACCAAAAACTTTATAAAAGACATATACTTGTTAGCTCAATAAAAACATATGTGGAGGAGGGATAGAGTATAATGCTAAAACATATTGAAAATACACATTTATCATCTTATTTTTAATTAACCTAATCATATTAAAATAATATTATTTTTAATAGAACGTATAACAAAAATATGATAAAAGATATTATATCTCTCAAGAGAACTCTATTAGTTTAATATCAGAAAATAATAAAATTAAATTCATTAAAACACTTTTAAAACTTACATTTATCATCTTAATTTTAATTCTACTAATTGCGTTTAAATATTATTATTAATTCATAAGGTGACGTATAATAAAAACTTCATAAAAAATATACAAACATTTATATTTCTAAGTTATGTGTATTAAAAAAGCGGACAAACGAATTTGAAAGTGTCGTTTGAATGCTATAAAAATATGAGAGAGAGATATGAGAGAGAGGGTGAGGGAGAGGGAGAGGGTGGAGAGAGAGTGAGTGAGAGAGATAAACAGTGAGAGAGTGGGAGGGAGAGAGAGGGGTGGAGAGAGATAGGAAAATGATGGAGAGAGTGTGTGTGTGAGAGAGAAAGGGTGGAGAGAAAGAAAGAGGGAGAGGGTGGAGAGAGAGAGAGAGTTTATTCAAAATTAAATAAAAGTATTGTATATAATTTCATATTGGACGTAATAAAAAAACAGACAGACGGGCACAAGAGTGTTCGTCTGAACGACGGGCACAAGAGTGTTCGTCTGAACGCTATTTAGATGATAATAATTTTTTAATAATATTTATTAGTTTTGTATAATTTATTTATTTTTATTATTTCAATTATAATCGTTTTTTTAAATATACTATATGTTATTTATTACTATCTTCGTTCCTTTTTATAAGAGAGAAGTTATTTTTTAAGTTCATTGAGTAATCAATATATTTGGTCTGTTTATAGACTAGATACATTGATTATTCAATGAATCTAAAAAGTGAGTCGTCTCTTATACAAAGAAACAGAGGTAGTATATCAAATCTATGATTTATTAATAGTTTTATAATATTAATAAAAATATAATGTGTAATTTGGATATCCAAAAAATCGATCTAAATTAAACTGCATAAAATTAGATCGGATCAAATTAATTTTTTTTAATATATCATCTAAAACGAAACTGAACCACAATTAAATTTATCTTTAGATCGGATAAATTTCTACTTCAAAACATATTCAAATCGAACTGCGAATACCCCTACATATATCACATCTCATAATCTTATTTCATTTTAAAAGGTAAATTATCTTTTAAATTCGTCAAATTAACATTTAGATTACAATATTTATATTAATATTTTTTTTTTTTGAAAATTTATATAAGAATCATATTTTTCATTGTTTTTTGACACCATTGTTATCAATGGGTGTCCAATTGTAGCATTGAGTGATAAATATTTTGGAGAAATGATATTCCAAAAAAAAGTGAATTAAAGAGAAAACGCTACATAAATTGACGTTTCTTATATATTTTTCAAACTTTTTCAATTATCTGTGAATTTTTCTGCAGATTTGATATTATTTATATATTTTCCTACAGAATTATCTGAGAAAAACAATCCGTAGATAAATCCATAAGTAAATCCGCATGAAACATCTGCAAGAGTCACATTTAATTTCTACGTAACTATTTGAGCAAGAAAGTTACCCTTTAATATATAACTACCTATTTTAGCCTATTTATTTCTACATACCCTTCAATATTTAATTTATTTATTATTGGAACAAGAAAGTTGAAAAACTATTTGATTACATATCATCATTTTCCATATATTACATTTGAAGAGTTGATGTGTGATTCACTCATTTGACTCTTGTATGAGTTTTGAATTTTGATATTGATTTTCATTACTATATATTTTGATGTGAAAATGATACTTTTAAAACAAAGTATAAATTGTTTTTTGTATGATCAAGAAACAATTAGGGTAGAAAAGAATGAAGAACACGAAGAACAACAAATATTAGTTATTAACTGTTATTCTTTACTTTCTCTTAAAACAAAAATAACAAATAACCCTCTCACCTTAAATTAGGATTTGCAATATGCAATGATGAGAGACTAGTATACTATTTATAATAAACTTAACATACTAAAATAATGGACTTTATCACAAATACTCATTACAAACTAACTTAGAGTACAAGCTAACTTAAACAACTGGACATAACAAACAAGCCCAATTTGATGCTAACAATCCTAGCATTCTTCGGCCACTGCATGTTTGACCCTTCTTCGACTACAACATACAAAATTTTGACACCAGTATGTGAGCAACCTTCGACTACATGCTACAACTATGTCGAACTGTCAAAACTAAGAAGCTATCTTCGACCAACTAGATTTCGATTCCAATATCTCACAAATTTCCATATTGGAACAAACTTTAATATCAACGAATAAACTAGCTTTCTTCATGCAGCTTTATCAACTGCATACAGTGGAAAAACTTGCAACTGGACAATGTCTTGATGATCATATCAACATCATTGTGATCTGTCAAAACCTTCAGCACTTGGACTTCTCCACGCTCGATTACCCCTATAAAGAAATGCAGGCTCACATCAATGTGCTTGGTCCGCTCATGATAGGATGAATTCTTCGACAGGTGTATTACACTTTGACTATCACATTTAACAGTGATAACTCGACCTTGAAGTTTCAGCTCCTTAGCAAAACCTTCAAGCCACAATGCTTCTTTCACAGCTTCAGTTAAGGCGATATATTCTGTTTCAGTGGTTGATAAAACAACAACCTTATGAAGTATCGCTTTCCAACTTATTGTTATATCAAACATAGTGAAACCATATCCAGAAATAGATTTTCTGGAATCTATACAATCTGCATAATCAGAGTTGACATACCCTTCGATTACTGCTTTACTATCTTCACCCAAGGCTCCACCATAAATCAATACTTTGTTCAAAGACCCATTTATGTACCTTAGAATCCACTTCAATACTTGCCAGTGAGCCTTTCCAGGATT